AGAGACATGTGAAGAACTATCCTATAGAGGTAATTTCAATGATCGGAAATTAGGTCTTAAGTCCGACGCACCGCTTTATCCTAGTTGAAGGGTTTATGTTGTACGAGCATCTCGAAAGAACTTCATGCACCTCGTCAACTACCTAGGAAACTCCTGCATCTAAAGGATCAAGAAGAAGGAAAAAAAAAACCTGTGTACAACATAGTGGAACCTTTTCCACTAAACGCAGAAAAACCTTTGTGACATTTCTATAACTCCCCGCAGAGGGGCCATGAAATACCAATCTTTCACCGGTCAAGAAGGCATTTTTTTTTTTTGTCCCGATACGAACAGATCGCACAGATATAAAATGTAATTGTAGGTGGAATTTCGCTACGATGTACAACCCCGAAGAGTCCCCGGGATTAAATCTACCTGAGTCTCTAGACAGTAGTTTTAGTTTGAATGGCTTCAGAGACTTCTCAACAGTTTTGAAGGTTCAAATTTTACCTAGCAATTGTAGCGATAGATGATCATAGCCACTAAAAGCCCTCCGTCCCTTCATATATGAGAACCCTATCTGAGGACAGAGCCACAAAGGTCAACAACTTTTTGCATACAACATGCGGTATCCGCACTATCCGACAACAGCCACAAGCCCGCCACTTCTTTCTTCTCGCATCTAGAAGGACGGTAGAGCGGGAATTCATCGAATATAGCGGGGCAGAAAAGAACATGAACTGGTACACCTACATGTACACGTATGTTGTATGTTGTACATTCGAACCATGTCGCAATGGACACCAGACGGTGAAGAGGAAAAAAAAAGCGGTGAAGATTTCGGCCTTTTGCAAATACCCCGTGGTACCATGGTTGATATACCCCGGCACGGGCCTGGGATGACCGTCGTTGAAGGTGGAGCTTTGGCTACGTCCACGGGTAATGTGTACTTGAAATTTGCGATGATTCCATGGTTCAGTGGGTGTGTGAGAGCATTAATTTGGGGATGGATCCATCTGCGAGGCGAGAAAAAAAAAGATCGGATCCCACACTTACGTTTTTATCGGGTTCTTTGTTGGGTTTTTCTGTGGGCTGTCTGATTACCAGGGTGTTTTGTGTAGACTACTGCAAGTCTCGGGAGCTGGTCTCCAAATACTCCGTACAGAGTACAGAGGATGCAAAGTTTCGATATGGGATGGTTGTCAAGTTTGAATCGGATAGTGCTTGTATTGCGTGTGTAGAGTGCACGTAGTATCCACTTGGCAATGACCACCCTACACATCAGCTTAATGTGAAGGATGTACTCCTTACGGAGTACGGAGTACATCATGGTTGGTACATGATTTGGAGATAAACCCGATGACTAACCCACACCGCTGTCCACCTTGGGAACAGAAATTCGAGATGATGGCTGGACGCCTCCTCCATGGATGAGCTCCCTGTGTAGTAACTAGCTCCAAAATGTATAGCGGAAGGAGCTTCCCCTTGCTGGAAGAAAGATGCACATCGGGGGCTGCAAGTGAACTAAGCAACGTGGAGGGAACTCGAAGTGTTACATCACTGTCTCTTGATTTGCAGGGTCATGAGTAAGGGACACCACGTCGATATACCGCACCCGGCAAGATCTTGCAGCCACCGGGGAAACCAATGGCAGGCCATTTAAGTTTTTCTCATGCATAGACAGGTGAACACTTCCTTGAAGACTTACCTTGTATTGCTGGTTGCCAGCGAGACTTTGCTTACCAATCAGAGAACAGACAAGGAGCACGTACCCCCTCGGATTGACTCAAGCACTTCTACAACATCACAAGCAACTCTCTATCTAAAAAACCATGGTGAGCCAATGGCCTATAACTAAAATAACAGAGAGGTTCAAACTCACACCCCAAAAATGGATCAAAATTGCATCTAATCCGCCACGGGAAGCTAAAAGAGTCTGGGGCCAATAGACGTGTCAGGTCGGGTCAGACTCAAATTATGCCAATCGTCATATGCGCGCGCTGTAAACTTATACTTATCCTCTAGATTGGCTTCATGCTCTCAGTACTTGAAACATGAGGCGAGTCACGAGTCAGGAGGCAAAAATGGCACCATCACCAAGATGCCGATTTGCAAGGCTTTTCTTCCCCCTTTCAGGAGGTACAGTACCGCGCCGGCTGGGCGCATCGGAAGCACATCGGCCAGGTACTAGTTTCCAAGCCATCCGGCCAAGGTCTGTGGGCACATGTAAAGTACCTTCTAATGAGTAAGTGCTAGTTTGATCCTGAGACTGTGCGCGGCTGCAGTGGGATATACCCCATTGCGACCACGTATTGCTGCATGGGCCTAGTTTTCCCACGGAGCCCCCTTTCCCTTTGCGAAGATCGTTGAGGTCCAATTGATTCCTCTAGGTTGCTGTTTGGGAATGATTTGGGAGACTTGACGGAGTATGGGGTATTAGGCTTTTACTTGGATGGGTGGTGTGACAGAATCCCGATGGTTGTCCTTTGATACTATTACCTATTGCTGGGTAGTATTGTACAGGTCATCCCCGCCATTTTGGGCGAACTACTCAAGAAGGCAACAGTAGTGTATAAAATTAGGCACATATGTTGTACTCCGTAGTGCTATCCACTGACATGGATAATATATACAGATTAGTTAGAATCCCAGAGTTCACAAGTCCACAAATAAGTAGGCATTTGCCTAAAATTACCTAGAGTGTTTGAATAAGGGGGGGGTGGGATCTAAATTGGATTGACGCAATACAACGTGCCAGACTCATCAAGGTAAAAAGGCCTCCATAGGTATGAGGCATAGGCGTATTCCTCTCATGCAGCTGACATGTAACTAAGAGTGAAGAGGTAATCCATAAAATTATCTTGAGCACACATTATTTTTTACCAAAGCCTGGGCAATTAAGTTAACTGGTAAGATACAACGTAGGTCCCTGGCATGCTATGAGATGTGAGTTTCCAACAAGAATCCAAATTTGCAGGCCAAGTGTGTTTGTGATCTTCTTCTACATATTATACTACATAATAGCCGTGTCTACCATTCAGATTTCTCATTTGAGAGTCCCTTGCTTTGCTACGTTGTACAGTCCAGACAGCACCCTTTAATGAACATCGCTCATCTCCCCCCCTTTCTTTCCCTGCCAGTCTTGCACGAGGCAGGAATACTCCATTGTCAATAGGGGGATCATTACTTCGGCAACTGTCAACTCCAGTTTAAATGAAAAGGCGTCAACGAATGATTCGAACTGCATTCCTAGAACAAGTTCAGCAAGTGAAACATACGGATCCACCAGTTACTCCGTGCTAGATTTAGAGCCTTATGCGCTGTCGTATATCAAGCTGCATTGCTCCGTACTCCGGAATCGAATAGACTGATCAATTGGGTACGTTTACTTTCTGTACATGTCATTGAGAAACGGCCGAGTCGCATGATGATCGATATCTCTGAATTTGTGGATATGCGATCAATTGAGTGGCTGACGTGAGTCCCGGGGGGGCCTTACCGAGCGCTCTCATTGAACTTGTGTATTGTAAGGGGACTGAGCAAGGGGAGACTGTGAAAATCTCCGAGTCGCAATTCTGTAGAGTGATAGGCATATGATTGGCAGAGATTGACCTGGATGATTCACGCAGTTAAAAAAGTGGCATTCTCACGGCTAAGCCTGATGAGTCGAGACGTCTACAAACCTTATCTCGGGTCGAGAAGCTGGGGACAAATCCAAGTGCATCACCAGTAGTGTCACAGGTGGCAGATTACGTAGGGATTGAGTTGTCAAGTGATACTGTGTACTCCGTACAAGAAAACCAAATTACAGACGCGATTCTAAAAGATGAGAATTGGGAACCGTGTCGGCCCAAATTACGGAGAACCTGCTTTTGCGACCGGAAACCGAACCTTGGAAATATCCCCACATAGACTCGCAGAGTGAGATGCAAGACAAAGGAGGCTCGCGTTATCAAATTAGGAAAGCCTAGCTGAGGTACGTGAATGCGCAAACACGCGAAATGAAGTCAACACCAAGGCAATCCCAGGCTTCTGGACCAGTCAGCGCCCACAGGCTGCAGGAGACCCTGGGACGCGCGACCGTATCGGAGGCTTCGCACGGAGTAAGAGGCAGAACCACCCCAGCCCATGGCAGCACTAGTAACCAAGGTGCTGGATGACGAGCCAACATTGGCTGAGGATAGAGCTAAAATACTTGTCGATCAGGAGCTTTTTTCGGGGCTGGAACTCGCGGTTGGTTCTTGGTCCTGGTTATCCCTTTTTTTTCCTTTGTTTATCTTTTATGATGGGAAAATTCAGTGATGGGAATTTTTCGAAGAATTCCACGTAAGATGTAAGAAACTGTGTTAAGATGAAAATGTAGGAAATGGGCTGTTGAAAGGTTGAAATGTCTCGGTAGCGACGGAGATCTCTCCACCGTCGAAGAAAGTCCTTCAAATTACTAGTCTAGGAAAATGACTGGGTCGCGGCATACGGTTGAAAACGCAATGTTCGAGTTTCAAAGTTATATGCAAAACACATCGGATTTCTGGCAATACTACAGAGTAGATAGCCCTAGAATATGAATCCTCGAGTAATTGAGTCATTTTTCGACTTGGTTAAAAAAGTGCATATTGTTTGAATATCCTATTTTAGTATCGCTGTTCCTCTATATCTGTGTGCCTGTTTCCATATTTGAAACCCAAGTTCTAAATAAGAAATCCAGTTTCAAGCCGTTTTTTGCAGGTTTCAACTCCTGTCTTCTGTCCTTGCAGAGAAGAAGCCCTAGTTACCTATCAAAATTACCAGTCCTTCCCCTGGGGATTACAGTGTAAATTATGGAAACTGTAAATTTACTGTACGCTGTACGCTAACCTTCAGCCTCCACTCTCTGTCTCGTGGATTACCATACAACCAGCTCTCTGTGCATCTCCGTGTCTTCTCACCTTCTTAACCTCTTCCTTTTCCTTCTTTCTCTTCCCACACCCGCCTGGAGAGAGAAAGTCCAAAACCTCCTCCTTGTACCTCTCTCCTTCTTTTCTTCAGACCTTTTCTCTTCCCCTTTTTCCCCCCCTTCCTCCCCTTTGCCAATCTTGCGGAGACCCTAGAGTCTGGTCTACTGGCTGAGTTACGGTTCGACGACATTCCAGTCGACGCAATCTCATTCAGCCCGCTGCACTAGTACTCGAGTCAAGTCGATTTTACCTTCGTACTGGACTTTCCAATTCGACGTTTGTTAATTCAAACGGCGATCATTCGTCCTTGTCCGCCCGGTGCCTCCCTGATCCTCGGACTTTGACATCCTATTCCAGCTCCTGCCGGTTACACGAGCGACAGCGTAGGAACCCCATTCAGGTTGACTGTTTGTTGATACGAATTCATTTTCAGTATCAGATTGGCACTGAGCTTTAAATTTTGGGTGAGTAAGAATTTCTTTTTTTTCTGGTGCTTTTGGAGATGTGCATGGTGTGTCAAGGCCGGAACGCCTCGATGGATAGACGAGCAACGGATCCCCGAATTTTCTCAACATGAGCCAAGAGATTGAACAAACTCCCACACGAAAAAATTCCTTTCCAAAGTGCATGAAAATTGGCCCACCGGCCCCAGTCATGGTATATGTTCTCGGAGCCGTGTCCAAGCATCCAGCATCCTCAACCTCTTATACCTCCGATCCTGTATCACTTCTCAACCGAAACAACACACGCCGAGAGCCAGAGATGGTGATAATGCTTTACTGAGCGATTAAGGGTGGTGCCCCTGCAGGCGGGGAATTGTATTCTCCAACACAATTGTGGAAGGCATATCTTTCTGCTTGACCTGCAATGTCTCGGCAGAGTTCAACCTAGGATTCTGAATGCTTCTATATCTCCCAACGTGGAAATGTTAAGGGGTCGATGAAAATGCCATACTCTTACTGCGCATGCCGGATTTCGAGGCGACGATCAGGCTGCCACACCACATATTCCATGACACTTAGTTGTTGACTGGCATTGTCTTTTGGACTGTCGACTGCTGCGAGTGCACTTGTTCACGAACATCTGACTGACATTGTTGCCTATTCTAGAACTTGTTCATCTGAATCGTTGATATAAACCCACTTGTCTCCTTCAACGTGGACTTCACACTTGAACCATTATCACTTCTTCCATCTAAGAATCTCTTTATCAGTCTCATCTCTGAGCCCTTTTCATTCATCTCGTTAATTCGTGAACTGTGAGTTCGTACCATTCCGTTACCAAGACACCCCCCTGATAGTTGTGACCCCCTTCATAGGGTTATTCTCCTACACTCCACATTCCGCAACGCTAGCCTAGGGGTGAAGACGTTGACTCGTACTCATCTCTTCGTTGGCATCCAGTAGAATCTTGATTCACCGGATCATTCCTGCCTAGATGCCAGTCTTGCCGTCACGGTAAGGGTTGCATTGTGCCCTCACCCAAAGGCTCTCTTCTGGGTTAGTTTTCTCCAAAGGAGGCATGACCCTTTCTGTCTCTTGATTGAATATCACCATACATCTTTGCATTCTACCTTGCTGTGCTTCTCCCATCTCACGCTCTCTTGCTTTCCCGTCACTCGGACATTACAATCTTTTAATCACCTCTTTTGGTGCCGGCCTCCGCTAATATTAATTTCCTTCAGCCTTACTTTCGAAAACCTCCTCCTCTGACCTCCGGCCACGTTTTCCCAGCAATCGAACTATCGTTTAACGCTGATTCACTCATTAATCGTGACAACATTTCCATCTTTCATTCTTTCAATACACTAATATCACGACTGTCACTCTCTTAATTCCGTCGTTGCCTGATAGATCCGTTCTTCAGGCATCCTTTCATTAAAACTCGGCAAAACAAAGCTCAACATCACCTTGTGCCTTCCTTCAGTTCTTCTGCAATCATGGACTACCACCGCAACTACCGCCCTTGTCCCACATTTTTCGTCGAAGAAGAGTACGGCATGGAAAGTCGCATCCGGCAAGAGCGACAGGCGAAGCAGGAGCTTGACAAGCAGATAGCTCGTGAGCGTCAGTATGTCATGGCGGATGAGCTGTCCAACCTCACAAGTGAGCAGCTTCGGGACGATATCCTAAGTCACATGTTGGAAATGGATGTGAGTTTGGCCAGACACGTCTTTTACAAGTCTAATCATGGCTAACCTAATCATCGCATTAGAACCAAACCCTGCCCGATGTCGAGTCCATTGATATTCAAACCGAGATCCAGTGGTTCATGCGACCATACCTTCTAGACTTCTTGATCGAGGCTCACACGGCGTTTCAGCTTCTGCCGTCCACCTTGTTCTTGGCGATCAACCTTTTGGACCGATACTGCTCCAAGCGTGTGGTCTATAAGCGTCACTACCAATTGGTTGGCTGTGCAGCTCTACTCATCGCGGCCAAGTACAATGACAAGAAGGATCGTGTTCCCACCATCAAGGAGTTGAAGTCGATGTGCTGCTCTCTTTACGATGACGATATGTTCACCCAGATGGAATGGCATGTCCTCCAAACCCTTGGCTGGTCTATTGGACACCCAACCGTGGATGCTTTCTTGCAGCACGCTGTTCTGGATGATGCTTATGACCCTGAGGTGGAACACATGGCTCTGTACATCCTGGAGATTTCCTTGTTCCACCGTGACTTTGTCGCCAAGCTATCATCCGAGCTTGCTCGTGCCGCTCTGGCATTGTCGCGCTGCATCCTAAATCGCCCGCAGCCCCGTCACACGCATTGGTCATCGCAGTATGACTCGATGACTCTTGTTGCCTTGTCCCAACAGTTGCACCAGCCCTCCACCGTGGTCGCCCGCAAGTACGCGTCCGCTCACTATTCTCGGGTCTCCAAAGTCATGGAACACTTCCTCAACCGCCAGGCTTCGCTGGCAACCTACGCACGTTGCACCCCTCCGGTTGAGACTCCTATTGAGTCCAAGCCGTACAATGGGGAGATTGGCCTCGCCACCCCTCAAAAGTCTCAGCAGCTGACAGCTATTCCTCACGGTTACCTTACCCCTCCCATCACACCGGACAACGAAGCGCTTTCGCATGCCCATGCACAAATGGCGAATCACGACATGCCCCGCGGAATGCCAACTGTCCATCATGGCTGCTCCCCTTCCCCTGCACCATCCGCTGAGCTACAATACATGAACACTGAAGCATATCAGCAACAGCAGGAGGCTTTGTACATGGCTCAACAAGTAGCGCTGCAGCAATTCCCTATGGCACCAACCCACATGGGAATGAGTCAGACCTATTAGGGTGGGATGTCGAAGAAACGACGGAACGAACAGCAATCCAAACTAAATCTGGTTATTGCACATATTTCAGCACTTCATTTCCTTTCTCTCTCATCGTCGTCGATTGACTCCAAGGAGCATCCTATCCTGCATTGATACACCTCGATATCTTATCTTAATACTCAATGCTCAACATCAGCTGTCGGCCTGTGCCATATCTTCCTAACTCCACTGCATCTACTTTCGTCCTTTCCGCTTTGCATTCGGCTCTGGTTCCGCGGAATCGGAGTCGAGACCAGCCCTTCACTTCCTGTTCCAAAAATTGCATTCTCATTTGCCCCCTATGCCCATTCGTTTTGGGTCATCGGTTGCACTTGACTTAACCATCTAGCATTGCGAGCGCGAGCCATGTTGATTTATTTGTTTCAAGAATACATTTTGCTGTTTCCACTCCCCTCGTCACATTAACTTCACTTCTATCTGTCAGGGAACACTACGCACCCTTAACACCCTGTATTTCTGCGCACCAACTGGTGTTGCATTTTTTGATATCCCTACTCCCCTGTCATCTACACAGTCCTTTGCGGTATAGCTGCTTTCACAATCGCGTTACCAATCCCCGACCCCCGTGCCTTCGCCCTCCAAAATCGCCCCCAAGCCCGTTTTTCATGTGCCTCGTTCCTCGTGTCGGCTCTCCTGCTCAACGTGCATCAATCCATCTCCTGTCTGATGACATCCACTTAGTTCATACGTCAAGAGAGCAGACTCGTCGAGGTCACAAAAAAAAGCTCAAAAAGTGTGAAAACCCAGAAAAAATGACATGTGTTCTGGGAAGGAACGGCCACCGAGTCCAAATTTAGCTGGACTTCAAAGGTGCCTTTTCATTCCCCTCTGCTCTCCTCTTCCTTTGTATCTAGCCCTTGACACATGCTCTGGATGCTTGTCCGTCATCCATTGCCCGAGATGGTGGGCCAGGCGCCTTTTTATCTTTTATCTCTTGTGTGGATTTGAGAATGGGGGTTTCGGTTTTGCCGCTTGGCCCTGAATTATATCCCATTTTCGTTGAACTTTTGGATGTTTTAAAATTGTAGATTGTCTTCGGTCTTGTAGGACTCTTGTACTTTTGTTTTTTTTTGGGTTCTCCGTTAATGAGCTACACTGTGGTAACCCTCGTCTATGATTCATCAGTGCACACATGTCGCCTCTTCTCTCGATATATAGCTACTGTTAGCCCTCTGTTTTGTTGCCATACTTTCTACCAACATTCAGGCCAGTCAGACTAAGTCGTGTATAAACATATATACATTTTGCTGTTTTCGAGACTTGTGTGTACAATGTATAGACCAATGATGTCTGACGGACAACCAACAACATCTATAAAGGCCATGCCGTCCAATCACACATCACTCCCCCGCGTAATCCTAACACTTACCAATTGCTGCTGCGGTTCAAAAAGAAAGAACCAGCTAGGATCAAGTGCTGCTTTTGAGACTTTCCCTTCTCCGCTAGAGGCTCATGTGGCCGAATTAGAGGTAGATCATTGGAAAGGCGTCATTATGCTTAAGATCCGCTACTGGCAATCAGGTTTGGAATAACTTGTTGACCCTTTAATGTTCGGAATGGCACACATGCATGAAAGAGGCGAATTGATCATGGATTGATAGTTCATCCACTGATCCAGTCATTCAACCATATATGTCGATTGGTCTACAAAAGTAGAAGAAGAACAGATTAAGTGAAAACAGAATTGATGGTAAAACCCAAAATCTTTCTCTTAGGAATACAATTTCACCCATTCGCCATAAATCCAGATCCAGCGGATCCAGCACCCCCCACGCTATGCATCAAAATCAACAACGGAAACAAATCGGGGGGTGTCAGCCCAGTTAGCCCCCACAGCATGACCAGCGAGCTGCTAGGTAGCAATGACGAGAGGTAAACATGTCAAGTTTCAACGGTAACCCGTAGAGATGGAAGAGTAGAAGGTACAAGGTAGAAGGGGAAAGAAGGGAAGACTCGGAGATCACGAAGAGTGAACCCTAGTTGAGAATAGAGAGGAGAGAAAAGAGACCAGGCAAAGTCGGCCAAACACCTTGGGAATTCCAGAACGATGATACAAGGGGGGAAAGAGTGGAGACGCGAAAATCCGGGGAGATGCAGGGATTCAAAGTAGTGAAAACGGGAAAACGGCACAGAAGCCCCGAGAATCCGAGAACTCCTACAACATAAGAGAAATCAGACCAGCCGATGCCCCGATTTGGTCAGGGGGGTTGAGCGGCGACGGGCGAGAAAAAAAAGGGGGTTATGGTGTCCAGTGATCTCCCCAAATTCAAGTTTGTAGATCGCCTCACGTTTTTGGGGGGGGGGGGGGTAATTTCTTGGGGAATTTTTTTTTGAGCCAATTTTCGTTCCCTTTTCTAATGGTCTGATGCTCTTTTTAGCCTTTGTAACCCGCGTGTAAAATGGTATCCGCGTCTCCTTCGAGTCGAACCTTCGTATGCACGGCAACTGAGGCAATGTCTAGGAGGTACTTCGGGTTGTAAAGAACTACTTCCAGCGTTGTTTGTCCCAGTCAGACGGTCGTGTCTCGTCATATAGTCGGCCACCCTTGTTGTGAACGACCACCGGGGGCTTGCGGACGGGATTGGTTGCTAGTGTCTGCATTAGCTCGGGCTGAATCTGGAGATCGGGGACAGGGGTGTGATGCACTTGGCATACTTAGACTTCGGACTTCGGTGGCGACAACCTGATCGTTGCTGCTGCCCCTGCTGGCTAATGTGGAATTGGAGTCGTTCACTGGGTGTGGCATTGTGAATGGAGGGATATTAGAGGGTGATTTGGGGTTGTCGTTTATAGATGGAAATGGAAGTGAATCAGAGGGATGTTGGAGGTATTAGAAGAGGTAGGTAGAGAGAGTAAAGAGGCAAAGAGGCAAAGCGACGAAGAGATATTTATGTATAGAAAGCGTCAAGTGAGGCCCACCGGATGGAATTATGAGCAGATGATACGGACAAGAAATAGGATATCGACAATAGCGAAAAGAGAACTGCATAAAAGACACTAGTGTTGATATGCTGTAGTTTGGTTGATCATTCAAATGGATTCGAGGGCAACGTCTTCTTTTTGTATAGCAAGCCATTCCACATTGAGCGTCCCCCCGATCTACACTCTGGGGAACACACAGTTATGTTGTAGGTGTCAAAAAGAGCTCGGAATGGATGCGCCCCTGACGTATTCGATGCCTGGTGATGTCCGATTGAATCATTGGCTTAGAGGGTCGATCGAAAGTAGGGCAACCAGTGATGAAGGGGAGTAGTTGGAACTTTGGTAACGGTAATCTTACCAATAATGATGAGTCAGCCATTTCTCGAACACACCTATTTACAGAATTGGACTGGTCTGACAAAAAAAACATCTAAATTAAGAACTTTTCAATGCGGATTCCTCGCTTCCTCACCGCTAGGATTGCTTCTGCGCCAATGGCGGCTGTACAAGGTGCGTGTCCACAAATGAAGAACGGGGGTTTACACCGCTAGACACCGTCCAAAATCTCATCTCGATTATTCTACACGAAATACGGAGTACTTCGTATATTCCCGTACGGTGATACTCTTTGAATAACAAGGCCTAATCTCATTAGGCTCCATCGGAAGATCTGCCCGTCCCGAATCAGGGTCATCTCATGGGGAAAGAGGATGAAATCTACAACAAGGTACAGATGCATCTGACTATAGCATTGCATAAAACAAGTCATTGCACGGATGTGCGTCATTCCTTCCAATTCGAGATTCTGGCCCTGTAGTCAGCCCTTTCCAGGTCAATCACTTTCCAAGCTAAGTATGCCTCGGGTGGGCTTCCCTAGCAACGCCTGAACCAGCAATGAGATTGCGAAGCGTGTGGATTATCCCCTTCTGACCTGGTCCCGTGGACACGGGCATCCCCATACCGTCATGATTCGAGACCAGCCCGCCCGGAAATCGTAAATCGTCTCAGCTCGCCTGCCCACCGCCCTGTCGCTTCATCCGATCTTGCCACCCATTCATGCTCCGTCGAATTCCCAACGTCCGCCGTGGTGCTTGTTGAACCATTGACATCGTCGTGTTGTGGAACGTCGATACCGGCTGGAACCCGCGGGTGGAGCGTCCGGGTTTCACCTCGTCTGGCCCGGCTGTTCCGCCTAAGGAAGTCGCGTTGCCGCTCTGTTCCTGCGTCATCGGAATCCTGGTAGGTTTCAGAGTTGGTTTGGATGGAGCTGCCAGCCACGTGTAGCCATTGAGATTTGTAGGATCTAGGGTCGGCCGTGTTGGAACAAGTGGCCGAGGCTGAACACGGTGCGAGGATAGAGTAGATGGTACGATGCTTGCCCCTGAGCGTTGGTGTTGCGACGGTAGCCCTTCATATCTGTGGGATGGTGGTGGCTGAGGATAGCTGGACTGAACTGGTTCCCTCTTCTGGGATCCTGGGCCTGCAAAGAAGTTGGATATGCTTGCTTGTGTGAGTCCGTCTTTACGGCTAGCGCTGCTGAGAGGTTTCACTTTGCTTGCCCCAGCTGCATCTGCCTCGGCATGCGCCGGAGGCTTTGAGGCTGACTCTGCGGAGGGTTCGGGCTTGGCCGCTATGTAATCCCTGGCAGACGTAAAACCCGATGAAACGGTTGTAGGAATAGTAAACCCTGTCGAGTTGTTCATGGTATACCCGGTCGATGAGATGTACGTAGTTGGTTTGGGCCCCTGATTCATGTCCGACCGCCGTCGCTTTGGATTGGGCTCGCCAGAGGTGTCATGAGAGTTAGTTGTGTCATCGAATGTGCTGCGGTCTTCCTCACCCTCGGCTGTCCATCGGTCATCCAGTGTCGATGGAAGAAACTCGAGTCCCTGGTAGATGTCGTCTAAAGATGGCCGAGGTCGACGCAAGATATCGGCGATTGCATACACCACCTTCTCATGAAGAGACGGCCCCGTTGGCCGAAATCGCGTTTTGGTCAACTTGGGAGGAAGGAATGGCGTCACCGTGGTGGCACTATCTTCTCCTTCTCCTAGCCGGGGTTGTCGAATAGGAACACTCAGGTATAGCAAGGCCTGTGCTCTTGTCATTGCGACATAGAGCAATCGTCTCTCTTCTTCTACCACCTCTGCACGCGAATGGGGAATGCTCCCGTTGTACACTGCGGGAACAAACACGACTGGCCATTCCAAGCCCTTGGCAGCGTGGATAGTGGAAATGGTGACTTTCTCTGACGGCTGGTCTCCGTCCTTGGTTTCTTCTTTGGTTGTGATCTCTGTAGCCAAGGCTACATTTGCCAGGAAACGAGTCAGAGCCTCCTCGCCAGGATGCGCATGCTGTTGCTGCACACCTTCGATTTCGGGGAGATCCATTTCTTTGTCAACCTCTTCCCCTTCAAACGCCGCAACTTCATTGGCTTGATGCATCAGTTCTTTAACATTAGCCCAGCGACTGTCTTCATCAAGGGGGTAGGTTCTGATGAGATACTCCTGGAACGAGAGACGTTCGGCAATGAATTCAATCAGAACACGTGGAGCGGATGCATCCTCACACTCTTGCAGCTTCTGTCTAGAGGCTTCAATCAACTTGACCAAAAAGCAAAGTCCCTGCTCTGCGGCCTTTTGCAGTTTCTTCTCAGTTGAACGGCGCCCTTGAATGACATCCTTGATGTAGTCCCACAGTGGAATCTTGGCCTTCTCCGCACCACTAGTTAATTGCTTGATTGTCTCATCGCCAATCCTTCGTGGCGGAACATTCACAATATTTATCAACGCGTCCGAATGTCCCGTATGACCCACAACCCTCATATAATTGAGAAGAATTTTCACTTCAGTTCGATCAAAGAACTTTCGTCCCCCAACCATCTTGTATGGTATACCGGCTCTTCCGAAGGCCGTCTCGATTTGTGTAGAAAGCGAAGCTGACCGAAGCAAAACAGCAAAGTCAGACATGCGCAATAGACCGCCGGTCATCGCTGCACATCGCTTGATCTCAAGTACCATCCACTGCGCTTCTGCGCTGGGAGTTGGAAGTCTTCTTAGCACGGGCAAGGTTCCGAAAGAGTGCGTAGCTAGTAGTGCTTTTGCAGGCCGACTCGTATCCTGCTCAATCACTTCCTGGGCTGCATTCAGGATAGACCCCGCAGAACGGTAATTATCTTCCAAAAGTACAACCGTCGTGTTTGAATATCGCCGCTGCATCCGCTTGAGATTCTGGATCTCCGCAGAACGAAATCCGTAGATGCTTTGATCTGGATCTCCGACGACGGTGATCCGTCGGTTCTTAGATGCGAATAGATTCATCAGTTCATATTGTATGACGTTGGTGTCCTGGAATTCATCCACCAAGACAGCCTGCACATTTGAGACACATTGTGGGTGGTCCCGGAGCAGATCTCCGCATCGCAGAAGGAGGTCATCATAGTCCAAGAGATTGGAGGCCGCCAGTGCTGATTCATAGGCACGATAGATCTCAACTAGCTCTATCTCCTCTGCTTTGGCTCTATCCGCCAAGGCATCAGGGCCGAGTCCATGTGCTTTATGTCGAGAAATTCGGCCTTGCGCCGCCTTGACTTCGATGCTAGACTTCAGTCGTTTAATGGTTCTCTGCGGTCCCAGTTAGAGATGATGAAACGAATTGATCCAATCCCAAAAGTGCGAATCGTACTCTGAGAATTGCGCGGGTATCATCCGAATCCGCAATGCCAAACCCCTTCCGCAGGCCGATCAAGTATCCGTACTTAACCAAGTAGCGGCGACAGATGGAATGGAAAGTGCCCAGAATCAAGCGTGATTCGAGCTTTTCTCCAATGAGCTTTGCGAGCCGCTCCCGCATTTCGCGGCTAGCTTTGATAGTAAATGTGCAGCAGATAACATCGTGTGGTTGGTATCCGTGGTGTGAGAGGAGGTACGCGACGCGTGCAGTCAATGTTTTTGTCTTACCTGAGCCCGGGGGTGCGAGCACTTGTAAGATCGAGCCGGATGAAGTGACAGCTTCTCGCTGGGCATGATTCAAGCCATCTAAAATCGGATCCATGACATGTGGGGTGCTTGACCAATGCTCAGGCACCTGTGAGGCGGAGACGCGAGAAAACGCGATGTCATGTGACACTTCCGCTCTACATTGAACCTGTCGACTTTTGGAAGAATTAATGGAAGTAGACGTTGCTACCTGTCTCTCATTATTGTGATAATTTGCTCATCCAGATATCAAAAGGCATGGAGGGGGGGATTGTAATGGCAAGCCCCGAAGACCTCCGCGGAGTAGATGGTTACGGGCTGAACAGAGGGAGGTGACGTCCAGCCTGGTAGCAAAATAAACATACTACATGCCGGATTTTTGACTGGCATGGTCTCGTGGTACCTGATGATAGCTTTAAATGTTCTTTAAACTATAGAAACGGAAATTACAGTGCTTTGACAATCTGATGCATACTCAAAGTGACATTCAGATAGGCCGTCAAGTCATCATATTTTTAATCGCTTTCTATTTAATAAGTGCCTGGCAATACACCATTCCTTCTGAGCATTTTCAGGGCATATTCATAACATTCTCGTGGACGAAAGCGTACATAACTACTCTTGAGTGTTGCCAGTCGTGCTTTTGTTTCACTATCTACACCACCGGAAGAACAACTGACATGGGTTAGTCTCTACAACATAGTTACCACTGCCAACTAATAAGCTTTACGCTAACCAAGGTTTTTATTGATCTGTTGATAGCGCCATACACTTGGTTCTGCAAGACTAACGGCCCCTCTGCCTAACTCTACCGTGAAATGACCGACTTTGGCAGGTGACATCTCCAATTCCACTCGCTCCAAAGAACCAGACGAATGGGAAGAGGAGCTTTTATACAAATGAGTAAACGCCACTCGGTCAAAGGCCAGTTGAGGCAGGACGTAGCATACCAGCAGCAGAATGTTGAAACCAGTACTCCGTACGGAGTAATGTAAAGCTCCTTTACGGAGTACTCAAAGAGATTTTTCGTCGTTACAGCGAACCCCATGAAGAGGGTTTCGAGCAGCTACACGATCTAGATTCCGGATGAAAGAACCCCCCTGCCCCCCCCCCCCCCCCCCCCCCCCGACCCGATCGCGTGACATGCAAGTACGTCCCAAGTGCTAGAATTGCACAGAATCGAATAGCAAACTCATCAAAAAAGGATTGACGTACAGGATGATAGAATTTTCCAGGCCGTGACTTCAGCCACCTAGATGTCACTATCGCATTTCAACCCCGAGGTTTGACCAAGACGCAAAATTCGAAACCAGGCTAAGATGATATGGAGTTGGATCTAGATGAACAAAGTATC